AAAAAAATGAATAAGCCAATTTCAATTTCATAAAATATTTAAGAATATTTCATAAAAATGTTATTCTAATAAATGGTATGCATTGTGTAAAAACGATATTTTAATTTTTATGAAATACACATTTTTAATATTAATTTTTATTAATCAATTTATTATTTTTTTTTAAGTATATTAATGAATTGGTAGTTTTTTATTTAAGTATTAATAACATATATTATTTAATGTTAAAAAAAGTTGTTGATCCCCTGGCTTAGACCATCTTAAATGTTTAAATAGTTTGTATAACTCCTGTACTTTAATAGGAGCTATCCCAAAGCATTTTACTTCTAAATCGTTACCGTCAAAAAATAAGTTGTTAAGTTTGGTACAATATATTGTGTACACTGTTGGTCATCATTTATATGATATTTATCTTATGATATCTCAAATATTTACTAGAACCTTCTTGTGTAATAAAAATAATGGTATTAAGGTATTTACTTAAAAATCATACATTGAATGTTTAGTAAATCATCTTATATACAAAAATAGTTAAAAACATATATTAAAACTCTGTCTTAAATGAAATTATGGTTTAATTTTTTGTTTGTCAAATTGTGATTAATCAACCCAAAGAGATTTTTAAAAGAGGTAGAAACATGCTTGTTCACCTACTGTGAAATTTATTGGATGCTATAACCCACCCGTCTATATACATATGGTACACTTAAGAAAATTGATTAATCTCGGGTTTTCAATGAAGGAATTAAATTATAATGATTTATTTGATTGAAAATACACTTCTGGTTCAATTACAGTATTTAAAGAACATTTAAGTGTACAAATAGGTGAGATGATTGTGCTTTGCAAATGACTTTCCGATGTATGTTTGTGTAACCATTACTGAAATTTGCATTGTACTTAGTGTATATTCATTGTGTTGGATAAACTAAGCATTAAGTTATTAAATAAAATAAAAAAAWAAATAAATATATTTCTCAGAACACAAAATTTTCTAAGATGTGTTTTATAGTTTTAATAATGACAAACTAAATAGATTGGATTATAAAGGTTATAGGCGCAATTTCAATAAAAAATCTAAGGGTGCTTAAGGTATGCMTTTTCTCATTTTAGTTATATTTTTGATAAATAAATACGAACATTATTTGAGATTGCTAATTTTAAAATTGGGTGTGCTAATAATAWGCCCCTCCTATTTGCGCTTGTGATAAAGGTGTTCAGAAGCCTAGACGACTGTCATCTTATACTCGTACAGTCATTAGTCATACGGAAAAAAGCTTGCGAATTTGTATTTTTTATAATAAGTTGTTATTAACAAGATTTTATAAAAAACGTTCGAAAGTCAAATTTACCGCGTGAATAATGATAACAGCGATATGCCTTCRCCGCCATGTTTTACATTCCATGATATTTTTGAGGTTACGTCGATCAAAACAAGAAACTACCACTACACCAGCTCCACTTCATGACGGYGGACTGTTCGGTTACGTTCCGTTCTTTCGCGTCGTGACTATCTCTTATTTATACAAGTACAGTACTCCCGACTCCATCATGGTCCTCGTCGACTTAAAGGTGAGTGAATATTTTTCATCCAATTCAATCGACCGAACGCTAGAATGTTCTCTTCCTGACGACAAATAACCGTCTGCAGACTGACTTCGTAATAAATGTATACCGACAGATCCTTTAATTTTTAYTATCGCACYGGGCTATTATTCGTTTGAATGATCAGACTCAGCAGCCACTAATTGGTTCTGGGGCTATAGACAACCAGTGCCACATTACCCAAGTTCTTATATTGCAATATACCCTCACTCGTTACTGAGGCGTAATACTCATTAAGAATACATAATTTCCAAATAGAGAATAAATTGTCGTTTTCCCCTTATCCCAATCTCAAGATATAATGATTTTGTTTTGTGTTGCAGAAGGGAGGCAACAAGTCTTCGGAGAAGATGAAAAATCGTATGCGAGAATTGAGGATTCGCAAATTATGTTTGAACATTTGTGTTGGTGAATCTGGTGACAAGCTCACCCGTGCCGCTAAGGTGCATTATTTTTACTGTTATTGTTGTTTTAATCTTTTATTCGTATGACTAATGAGCTTATTGACTTTCAGGTGTTGGAACAGTTAACTGGCCAACAGCCAGTGTTCTCCAAAGCTCGTTATACCGTCAGATCTTTCAGTATCAGAAGAAATGAAAAAATCGCAGTGCACTGCACTGTACGTGGTGCTAAGGCTGAAGAAATCTTGGAACGAGGATTAAAAGTTTGTTTGATTTTTGGTTTGATTTTTGATTTCTTAATTTAACTGAATCATTTATTAAAAGGTTCGTGAATACGAATTGAGGCGAGAAAACTTCTCAGATACTGGTAACTTTGGTTTTGGTATTCAAGAACACATCGATTTGGGTATCAAATACGACCCCAGCATTGGTATCTATGGTTTAGATTTCTTCGTTGTCTTAGGACGTCAAGGTAAGTTTATTTAATTACATCTAAATTTCAAATGAAAGAAGTGTTTTTTCTACCTTTTTACCAAACAACCACCTTAATATTTGCAATGTTTATTTTTTTCAAAATAATTATGTTGATTAGGCTTTTGATGTTAATACAGCATCTGTTATGGACGATCCTGAGATGTCCTCACAAATAAATTCACAAACACTTTAGGACTGATTAACTTTCTTTATATGTAATTAAGAATAAAACAACTATATTAATGAAAAATAAGGCTCTCAATGTTCTGTACAATGTAATGCTCTGTCTCCAATCCGGGATTGCCGCTCTCGACTTCTATGCGCGAGGCGTCCAGGCCGGTCGTCAGGTCTCGATGGCTTCATTTGCACATTCCTTGAGCCCGACGGCTCACACATATACATATAATAATATTAACATATACATATTATACTAATATTAAGATATACATATACTAGTTAAAACAGTGGTTCTTAACAACATTTTGAGTAATTAGTTAGATTGTGTATTATATTGTCTCATGGTTTACATACCATATTTTGATTAATGTATCCTTCTACTGTTAATTAGAATTTATTTTGATTTCATTTTTGATAATGGTATAYAGTACTTGGCCTAAAAAAGTTTTTAGAACAATTAAGAAAATTTAAAAATTTGTTTTCATCATATGTTCAATACAACCCCTTGCATTAGTATACCTTACATTGTGATAGCTCTGAATTAGATTATTGTCATTTTATTAGTAGTAATACAAATGTTAATGCATTTTTCTTGTAAGTGGCTTTTTACGAATAAATTGTTGGTTTACATAGTTTCTATGCATATTGTTCAGATTAACTAACAGTTCTCTCAGTTCAATTTTCAATAAATTATTATTATTCACTGAAAAATTAAAATATTAAAAATATAACAATGATAGAACAAAAATAATGTTTTTAATTCATTTAATTATTCATTAATGTCAAAACTAACAGCAAACTCTTAATTTCAAAAACTATCGCTGATGTTTTCAGTTAAAAGTATTAGTTGGTTCTTTTTGCTTTTGATAAATATTATGTTGAATTTTTATATTATCAAGATTATGTAAAAAATTTCAATATTAATTTCACTTACACAGAAGTAAAATGTGCTTAATTCATGGCATTATATTTAAATACATTTTTTATGAAATTCTAATCATATTTTTGTTTTTTATGCCTTAATGCATGCATATTTTTCAATGTTTTTTTAGAGCATATAATATATGCTGTTGATATTTATTATCGTCTACTATTTTCTAATTATTATAATAATAGATTATAAAATAGCAAACAAGCAAATAGAGAATCATTTATTGCTTAAGTACTATGAAATGTCAAGCAAGTAGATAGGTCACATCTTTAGTCTCAGAAATGTCTAATGTATACTACATATTAATAATTTTCTTTTCTTATTCTTCCATTTTTGCCATTTATTTTAAAGATACAAAAAATAATTTTACTTAAAGGCTATTTATTTTTTGTAGTTAAATTATAAATTTTGAAAATTAACATAATAAAGTAAAGTGTATATTGTTCAGTTCAAGTGAGTAGTAGACCAGTTTTCTTTAGGTTGCTGTCAGTCAACATTCGCTTGTTGTTCCTATCTAGGAAACTATCTGATACATGTTGTGTATTGCCACGTGATAGTGGTTATCCTGTGCACAAATCTGCCACCTACTGTCTTAACTTGAAATGAGTCAGCTACTGAAAACTATTACAGATATACATAAATTCTGTAGGCTCATTATACAATGCTAAGACAAGTCTTATGTGTTTTTAATTTAAGAACTTAATACTTTTTACTGTTCTATATTCTGTATATATATATTATTGCATATTATATACAATTAAATATACTTTTTTTGGCTAAGGTGAAGTAGAATTGACATATTATTATTAAGCTCTAGTGGGTTAGATATATTAGTTCAGACTTGAAGATATCTTATTGTGTGTTAAAAAAACATTAAATCCCTTCAAAACTTGAATAAAAAATCTGATAAAAAGTGTTAAATGTTTTAGTAAATCATAAAGTTCATAATATAAACTATATAATATAATATAACATAAACTATAATATAATATACAATATATTATGTTTTTGTGAAACTATTATCTTATACAATATCTTTTATTTTTAAATTATTTTATTAGGTTTCAACGTAGCTCACAGAAGAAGGAAGCAAGGCAAAGTTGGTTACCAACATAGACTAAACAAAGAAGACGCAATGAAGTGGTTCCAAACTAAAGTAAATGTCTTATTTACTATTATTTATTTTATACTAAATTTGATCTAATAATATTTTATTTTACTTTTAGTATGACGGAATCATTTTAGCAGGGAAGAAAAACTAATATTAATTGTATTGTTTATCAATGCAAATCCCATAAATATACATACATGTTGTTTTTCCAAACAAACTGTCTTGTTTTATTTTACAATATAACTTTCACCTTTTATTATTTTTCCTTTCAAATARTAAACTATTTCTTTTTAATCATCATTTTTGCTGCCACTGCTTGCGACTGTTATTTATATAGCAGGGTCGGTTTTGTCCATGCGTATGGTTGTCTGCTGCGAGTGGTGCTAGGCCTAGTGCTATGCAGTAAACTACAACAACCCTCTTTTTCGATAATTGGGTTTTTTGGATTTAAAAATAAATGAGCAATATCTGAGTTTATGAGGATGTCACTGATGTAAGTACATTATTGTTAACTCTCAGACCCATATCAAACATAGATAAAACGCTTAAAATAATTTTTATAATTTTTGATTTACCTTAAATATATTATAATAAATTTTAACCTTCAATTGTGGGTTTGATATAATGAATTTATATTACTCTGTACTAGACTTTGAACATAAATTTTTTTTTTGTAAACTTAAATAATCAAATTATTTTTAGATAATATGTAGACAAATCCATGTCATTAATATTATTCTTGTATCATTTTTGGTATGAGTGAATTTACTCTAAAATAACTTTTAATTATATGTAAAAAATTGATTATGTAAAATGCTATTAGTAGGCTAGAAATAACACAGTATGCTGACACATGAATTTACTACAACTTGAGAATTAACTGATACAAAAATGTTCATGATATTTTCATAAGATAATATATTACATTTTTTTAAATAGGTATAAAAGATAATTAGTCATAATCAAGATTGTGGTCTCAACTTAGGTTAGGTCTTAAGTGTTTGCAAGCACATGCTATGATACAATGAGACATAATATAAACATATAAATTTAAATCTTTTATTTACACAATTACAGTAATAGCAATATTTATTAGTACCTACTAAACAAGTGAGGTTGCCCATTGCTAAGGTGCATCATCCTATCAATTAGTTGGTTTCTGCTGTAATTGGTATTATGTGAAGTAATGGTGAAAAAAGCGGACTCCTAGTTTGATGGGAAGGAATCTTAAAACCAACTTGAGCTAGTTGGGAAGGAGTATCAATACATCTATAAATTAATTTGTGTAAAAATAGTAAGTTAGCCTCAACTCTTCTATCAGCTAGAGAGACAAGACAGAGTTGGTGCATAACTGGATGGTAGACGTGTCACGTGTGGCGCATGATTAATTTTCAGAATTAAACATATTTAATATTGTAGACATTCCGATGTACTCCAATTCGTTTTATATTTACTTTTAATTTTTCACATACAAAACAGCACAGGATTTATGACTGCACAAAGCACTCAATCCATCTTAGGCATATTATGGCATACACTTACTATTTAACAGATATATTCTTATGAAAAATATTAATATTTTCATATTTTATTTCTACAAACAACATAATATGTCAACTTATAATTTTCAAATGGTAACACACTAATATTAATATTCAATAAATAATGATTATTTATAAAACAAATTTTTCTATCAACTTCGGTGTTCATTTTTTAATCCTAMTTATTCAATAGTTTTTGAGTTATAACATGTAAGTACATCAAAAGACGATTATAGGGGAAGCTTGAGGGTTTTTACAATATAATGAAATATAATAATAAGTATGGTTTTTACACTATTACACTTGTCTTTATTGTTTTATGTTTAATTATTACTTAAATCATTGAACCGAAATCATCGGCTTATGCTTGGAACACATAGTATGCGCTATGAAATGTGTGGGTAAATCTAGCATCTTCACTGGTGATTATTTGATAGGGCATTATAGATTTAGTTCAGACAGCCACACAGCCCTACTACTTGGGCTCTAGATTCACCTTCACGTTTTGTGACCCAAACGACTGTATGTCTGTATACAGAACATCATGATTGGATATGGGTTGTTATTAATTTAATACTATTGTGAGGCAATGAAGGAACATAAACATGGAACATAAAATTTACCTTTATAAAAATAATTTATTTGTATAAGATTGCATACAATTGTTATGTATATCAACTAATTACTTTGTGACRCCACCAATTAAACACATCGCAACAAAATATTTTTCAGATCAGTTTATTTGCTCAGGTTCGAATTAAATTAGTTGTTAAGTATATTCACATATTCAAAATTCAAATCATACTAATCCAGTTACACAGTTACTGTTATGGCTAGTATTGCACTAGTTAAACAAACTATGACATTACCAAATACAGACGTTTATTTTCAAATTTAAATAAACAATTAGTTTTATCAATATCCTAATGGTAGTATGTGGAAAAAAAGATGAAGAACATTGATTTATTAAAATAACTTTGGGTACGTATATTGTTTGCATTGTAAAAATTAAAAAATAACCTTTGTTAACAATATATGTGTATTTTTATTATACATCTGTTTAAAAGAAAATATATAGGTACTTAGCAAAAACTATTGATATTTGAATTATTTTATACTAAACATGTTATATTATAAACTGAAGTTACTAACTTATTAATACACAAATTAAGAAACATTTGTTACAATCACACTGACAACTTATTAGCTGTCTAATGGCATACTACAATAACATAATATAACAATATGGAAATATATTGTTAACCATATCAAAGTTTTAAGCAATTATAAACTACTAAAAGTAGTTGTTTTAATTACATAGAGTAAACAATTTTTTTCTATTGCCTATTGGTATTACCTAACATTGATCACATTATATTTATATTGCGCAATATTTAAAATTGTATTTAATTTGACACATTTCAATTACCATGTAATTCAAAAAGAATAGCACAAGATAGTACATGAAATTAGTACCTTCAAATAAGTCACTAAATCACATACATCAATGCTGTTAATAAAAGAATGAAAGTAAAACTTTRTAGTAAAATTTTCTTATCTTTGTATAAATTATGTTGTTCAATAAAATGTAATAAAAAATACTTTGGAAAACATTAGTGCATGTTTGTTATGAATGTAATAAATGTACAATAATAGTGAGTACAAAAAAAGAAAAAAATATATATTATTAATGATGCCCTTTCTCATATTCTAGTATAAAAAAATAAAAATTGCGTAAACACAAGGCAAAAAATATGCCAATAATAAATTTAAACGTTAAATTAGTAATATAGTATTCATATAATTTACTAAAATAGTTTTGAACACCTAATTAACAATGTAAAATGTTGATGACTGGATCAAAATAGTTTATATATATTTTATTTTAATCTAGGTTGTCACCAAAACGTCCAGCAATAACGCCAATAACATAATATTAAAAGTATTAAAACCAAGTCAAAAAAAATGTTCGTTTTACATTTAAGGCGATTTGAAATAATCAAATTTCAACTTAAAACTTCATATTAATTACTTATACATATATATATTTTTATTTTATTGACMTTCTTAAAAAAATATATATTCCTACTTAAAAATGGAAACGGAACTATGTAAAATAAAATAAAATGAGAAATTTCAATCCATTTAGTCTTCATACAGTGGTGTATTATCGCCCATAGACGATTCAACCATTGATCTTGGGCTATTAATGGTATGGGGAGTTGATCGACCAGACCGTGGAGTCCATCTTGATCCAGGCGACGCATATCTCAAGTCTGGATCATTTTCATCATTGCGTACTGAACGGGATGATGAAGCATATACTCCAGGTGAATCTTGTCCAGGATCCATTGTAAATGGATCATATGGTGTACCAGAATTAGACGATGGGCCTCGGGGTGACTTTGATGAGTTATGTGAAGATGTTATATAACTACTTTTGTAGGTCTTTGATGGTGCTGGAGAGTTGTATCCGTATGATGAAGCACTTGGGGTAGGTGATGGAGCATCGCTGCGTGGTATACTTGTTTCTCTTTCTCGGTTCATATTATATCGATGATTGTTGTATCTGAAATATTGAAAACAATTACATTAAAACGATAATTAAGAGATCACACTAACATTTTTGCAATAGTTATTGGAGTCTTACGATAAATTAATTTTATAATTTTTTACATTTGTGAAAACAGTTAAATTTTCAGCTAATTTTTACATTTGTACAACTTTTTTTTTTTACATATATAATTACCCGTAATTTTAATGTTACAATATTTTTAAACTATTGGGCCCCCACACGAGTTCTCTTGGTCCCAGTATTCATATATATGTATGAAATAAAATAAAATAAAATAAAAAATAAAAAACATGTGTTATTTTAGTCTAGTAAATGTACAATAAATTTCTGTACAGTAAAACAAATATATTGAGTTGATAGCAATAATATAAGAGAGTGAATTGACTAATTATCAAAAGCATATGAAGATTTTAATTGATAATTAATTTTTTGAGTAAATTTGTTTTAGTTATAAAATTGGGCGTTAAAATATAAGTTAAGTTTTGTATTGTTAATAATAAGCTAATATTTTAATCACAAGTGGCATTAACCGCTTTAGGTTACTATTTTGATCCAAAAACTGGAACATTAAAATCAATGACAAAAAATCGGCACAGATGAATTTTTCACAAAACAAAAGGGAATGGCCCTACTTAAGTTCAATAACAAACCAATTCCACTTCACCAGTAAACCAAATACCTAGGTATAACTCTGGATAAAAGATTAACCAAGTCAAATCACACCAAGCAAAACAAAAATAACTTAAGAGGATGTCAGTGCACTTATTGTTTTCTCTTTCTGGCTCATCCGTAACATAGACAAAAAATTTTTACCCAGAATCATTTTATCTATGTCTTTAAGTAATTTTAGAGTAAAACCTCTCATTACAAAAATGATAGAGAATAATATTTTTGAGGGAATKAAATATCGATTTGACTAAATATTGTCTCTAAATAATTTAAACATCATTTAAATGTACAGTAATATTTTTGTTTATTTTGAAAGTCGAATACAAAGTCAAATGTCAATAAAATATAAAATTGAGTAAGAATAGTGAGAATAGTCATTCCARTAAAAATATTATTCTCCATCTTTTTTGTAATGGGCAGTTTTACTCTAAAATTACTTAGATAAAATGATTCTGCGTAAATTCGTTTTTTATATGTTATGTGTGGGTCAGAGAGAGAAAATAAATAGTGCACTGACATCCTCTTAACTCTCAAAAATAAAACTATTTCTATACAAAGTAATCATCAGGTCATTATGGTTATACGGCATCCAAATTTGGGGACTAGTAAAACCCGCAAACATTCGCCCTATTCAAGCTTTCCAGTCAATTAGCCTAAAACTTATTACCGGGGCTCAATGATACATAACAAATACAGCCCTCCATAATGATCTAAAAATACAACTAGTAAACGAGCTTGCAAAAAGCCACTACTAATGTTTCCATTCAAAATTAACAAACACCTTCATTGAAAATATGTCTTCTCTCTCTTACATTACCACAAATTCACTGTCAATAAAAAGAAACTGGTCGAGAAATCTCTTAAAATAGGAGAAAAAAATGTCTGGTTCTTTAAAAGAATAGTCACCTCCCTCTTCATGTTATTCATGCTTGGATGTTTTTTATGTTATCCTCGTTACTTATTGTTTCTTATTGCAAACAGATTGAATGTTAAAAAAAAAAAAAAGCTATATCACACAAAAGTAAAATTGGCAATTCTAAAATGATCAGTGTTTTACTGGTTTTAAGTCCCTATTTTTAGGCAGGTGTCTCATGTAAGCCATCCAGTTTTAATTTTATAAATATTTCAAACACCACTAATTTAATTTATAGATTAAAAATATTACATTTTTAAACACAATTTTAGAAAAAAAATTATTAGTGTTCTGTATTTTGTAAAAATTCACTGCTTGAATATTTAATTAATATATCTTAAGTTTATAGCATTAATAAAATATGTATAACAGATTATTGTTTAATGCAAATAATAGATTTGGTTTAGATGGTATTGAAGTATATAGGTTGGATTGAAATATTGTTTTAAGAATGCTAAAATAATAAGATTTTATATTATTTCAAAAATAATGTTTTAATATTCTAATATTCAAACATATATCTTTACATTATTATCAGGGCTAAGATTTGTGTGCGACAGCATGTTTTTTTTGCGACTTCTGATTATTGATTTTGTCAGTAATGTCCACGAATCACCTCATGATGAGATAAATGGTGATGTTTTTGCATATTTTGGATAAAATGTATATTAATGATTATATTGAATAAAATGAATATTATTGCATATTTCTTTAATAAGAATGCAAAAAATGCGTGTTTTATTGTATATTTCGTATTTCATTCTAGCTCTGCTGATTAAAGTATAAAACTGGGTTTTTTTGTCAAATACAAATTTGATTTTTATAAATACAATCTTATGGTACAATAGGTATGTGGATTAAAGATTGAATAGTTTTACGGAGAAAGATAAACACAATTAATAAAAGTATGTCGATCAATATAAAATCTAAGATAGAAATTAAAATGCATATTTTTGCATATTTTGGTAAATAAAATGCATATTTTAACATTTTTTATTGCATACAAATCCTAGCCATGATTATTATAATAACACCAGTATTATTTTTCTTAAAAAGTTAATATCAATAAAAATAGAAAATAAGATAAAATATCAAATATAATTATGTTAATTGGTTAGAAAACTTTGTACACAGACATACTTATATTTATATTTTGTGACTTATTATTGTGTAAAACATATTACCTGCTACGAGGTGTGTGCCGTCCTCCTCCGTCAGACATGGGTGTAGAAAATCCTCCATCACCTCGTTGTTTAGCTTTTGCCCATTCTTCAGCCATTCGACGCCAATCATTTGGATCTGCAGATTGTACAGGTGGTTTAGAAGGAGATGGTTTCGGACTACTTTGAACAATTGGTGTGACGGAGCTAGGATGAAGAAACACACCATCATGAACTGGAGCTTGAGCAGCACTATAACGAGGAGTAGCATAATTGCCAAGGTAAGGAGTCTGCCCCGATGGTGTGTATGGCTAAATAATAATAAAAAAAATGTCAATAATATAGTTTATATGTTAGGTGTTAAATATTAATTTACAGTGTTATATGCAGATTGCTGCATGTTGTTGTATGATGCATGAGGAGATTGGGAATATTGAGGTGTAGCATTTGAGTGGCTACTATGACTGCGATTCATTGGCGAAGGTTCTAAAATATAATAAAAAAAAAAAATACCAAATAAATAATCAATAATAATTAATATTACTACACATATACCTGTATGCGGAGAAGGTCCATAAGTTTGTCCAGCAGATCGAGACGTTATTGGTGTTACATGAGGTGTAGCATCTCGGAAATGTTCTTTGTACCATCGGAATAAAGATCCAATAGAATCAAAATTTTGGCTACGGAAACGGTATCCTTCTGGTGTAACAGTTATGTATTCATGTTTCGATCTACGASTAGGTAAACACGATAGAAGAAATTTGCCTGCATATTTCTGACAAAAAAAAATACATTAATAGCATTTTATTTTACAATGTTCCAAGTTAGTAATTATAATAGGTATATTAGTATATTTTACACACAAATATTATTATTGGATGCCTGTTTCCCATTATTCCTGTTAAAATCATCAATACACTTTCATACATTAAGTCTGAATTATTTCTCAATTGTCTTAGATTTAAGGTAAAAAAAAAAAAAATGTATATTAAAATAGTATTAGTAATATTTGCAATTATTTGATAWAATAACTTTTAGTAGAAATGAAAATTAATTGGGTATCAAGAACGAGATTAAGTCGATAGAGTGCAAACCGAATACGAAATGCACACTGGGTCATTATCGGGGTGAACAGCCATTATGAATAAATTCTTCAATAAGAAACGCACAATGCTCTCCAGACCAAACCACCATAAATACTAAAAATAGCATCGATAAGGCTTTCTATCGATGTAAATATCAATAATTAACTAAACCCAAACCCTAACTATAACCTTATCAAACTAGGTTAACCTTGTATATTTAAACAGAATATTGTTGGTACTCTGAAACAATACATACGATCCTAGTGGTTCAAGAAGGTAATAGTTTTAGTCGAATTATAATTTAAACAATATATTCATATCTTAAGAGGACGCCATACCCGCATGTGTTGT